AATGGATTCTATGAAGTTTGCGAATATTGCGAAAATATGTGGACCTTGAAATGATCTCTGGCAAGCTTGCGAATTTGTTGAAATTAGACCCTGAAATGGATCCTGCAGAGTCTCTAAATCCAGTGAAATTAGATCCTCGAATGGACCCACCAAAGTCTACGAATCTTGCGAAATTGAAACCGGAAATAAACCCTGGAAATTCTACGAAATTTGTTAGAAACAAACCTTAAAATAACCTTAAAAAGATCCATAAATCAGACTGTACGAAACAAATTTCGAAAGAGAAAGGAGAAAAAAGAAATTTCAAATCCGTGCATCATGAGATAAAGGTTCCTACGAGAGCGAGAAACATTTTCAAAAACATTTTGTTCCACTGGGACGCCTGAGAATGAGTAGTACAATTTGTTTAATAACTCCTACTGATTTTCCGTCCCAGGCATGAGGACAGAAGCGCCGTGTTGCGAACGACCTGGCAAAAGGTGAAAGTAAAATCTCTGCGCGGAAAGGGACGAAAGCACCCTTCCTCTCTCTCCATCTTGACTAAATAAACCCAAAAACCAACCGAAAATTTACACTCATACATAGAACTACACATAGCAAAATTAATATTAACCTAAAGTCCTACGCTTAACTAATATAAACCCAAAGACCACCGAAAAAATGACACCCAACCAATACAAACCCTAAAACCTATACTGAAATAATAGTAAAAGTATAAGAAAAATCTATACTCGATCACTATAAATCCAAAAATCTACTCGCAACTACTATAAACCCAAAAACCCAAGAACCTGCACTCCATCGATATAAACCTAGAAACTTAAAAACCTGCGCTGAATATAAACCCAAAAACCCGAAAAACAGCCTAAAAACCTAGACTCAGCGAATACACCCGGAAAAGGGGAAAAACCGAAAGCCCAGGAAGAATGTAAGAATTCTTGGCGTATAACACGCGACATGGCCTGAAAGACGCGAGCGAAGGGACAAGAAGGCGGGCAAAAATTTGTATATCTACCACCGACGAAGGGGTAGCGACGCTTGTGTGAAACCGTACATATCCCTGGAAAGAGCCTGGCGGAGGGTTGGGGACGGGAGACAGGGGCGGACACACGCGCGCCAAGTATGTGCGACCGCAAGTATATGGAACGACAGAAGGGGCGGCTGAGACTCGCGCGGGGGCGGCGGGGTGCGGCGAAGAACACGCGCGTAGGTGTTGCTGTAGGCCGGGAGAAAGCAAGACGCGAACAGGGAAACCATATGTACCTAACGTGAAATTTGTACATGGCCGCAAACGGGCGAGACCGGGGGCCAGGGGGCGAGGGGTGCGACGCGCGCGTGTGCGTGACACCTACACGGCTGGCCATTACAGGCAACCGTCGGTCGGTGGTCATCGCGAGCGCGCCGCACAGCCGAGGCGGCCATTGAAATTTTCCGAAACTGTGCCGCAAACACTGGCCGCACCGGACTCGTCGCGCCACGAAAACTCGAATCCGTTCGATCGGCCCATCGACCCCGCGACGCTTTCGCGTTTCGCTCACGTCACTCCGCCTTCCGGCCGCGCCGTCCGCGCGTTTTTCTCGCAACCAGCTACGCCGAGCTTTGTAACTAGGGGAGAATTTTCTAGGGAGACGGAGGGACTCGCGCCGACCACTCTGTTACGAGGCTACCCTTGCCTTCGCAAATTCCGCGTTTGTTCTGGCTATTGCGAACATTCCCGGGGTCCATTGAAATTATGGTATAGATTGCAATCCTTGGATCATGCGAACAATATTCTGTACCGTGTGGAGCTAACGTAGACGCACAATTTGAATACTAATTTCATAAATAATAAATAACAAATATAATTTTATAACCTATATTCTATACTGTTTAACCAACCTAGTATAGATTGTAAATGTGGAATATTAATTTCATAAATTGTAAATAACAAATACAATTTTATACCCTATATTCTATACTGTGTAACCAGCATAGTATAGATTGTAAATTTGAAATATTAATTTCATAAATTGTAAATAACATATGTAATTTTATAACCTCTATTCTGTACTATGTAACCAGCATAGTATAGATTGTAAATTTGAAATATTAATTTCATAAATTGTAAATAACATATATAATTTTATAACCTCTATTCTGTACTATGTAACTAACATAGTATAGTTTGTAAATTTGGAATATTAGTTTCATAAATTGTAAATAATATATATAATTGTATAACCTCTATTCTATATCATGTAGTCAATATGGATTGAAATTTGTGTCTCGCATTGGTTGGTAATTGGGAGATGGTAATGGCGGATTTTTCTAGATATTTTATTTTATTTCTAGTAGAAATTTTCTTGGAAATAGAAAAGTTTCGTTGCATTGGGCCATTTTAAACATGATTGAATTATTATATTTAGTAATTAAAGCCGATATCGCTGGGCCAAGCCAGCTATTGGGATATTCCTAACCTATAAAACGCACGTGTTGTCTAAAATCCGAAATTCGGGACACAACTTGGCTAAATTTGTTTGATACTGAATGATGCATAATTTAACAACCTAACCTAACCTCTTGCAAATATGAAACCAAGAAAAGGTTGATCTGTTTGCATTATGATACGCGAAATATTTAAATAAAATACTATATATTTAATTAACCGATTATAATAATTTCCCGCGGATAAAAATTGTCGAGTGGAAGAGGTTAAGCAAAGAATCAGGGAAATTTGCATAAAATGCGATTATCGAGTATATATACCGAGTGTCTCCGCGAACGGGCGATTTCCGTTTGTTTGGATTGAAATATCGGTTTAAAATTAGCGGCGTTTTTCATTCGGCCGCATTTTTACCCGCGGAAAAAGAAAGATGGAAGTTGGATCAACGGAATCCCGCGCGTTCCTCAGCTATCGATTATTCGACCGCGCGGGGATTTTAATTTCGCGCGGGCAAAAAGACCGTCGCGAAACGGACGGAGAATTTTTATGAATTAACGAGATTTTGTTGCGTCCGACCCACCACCGTTCCCACCACCACTTCCCAGCGTCGAATGGAATGTAATTAGATTGAAACAGGAAGCCCTCGGGCCTCCTTCGATGCATCCCCTATTTCCGGCCATTTTTTCTTTTTTTTTTTTTTTTTAATCTAATATTCGTGGTCGTTTCTATATCGAAGCTATCGAATAAACACGAATTTAATTTTCCTTTTTTTAATTAGCGAAATATTTCTTAAATACGATTAATTTTATTATTTCTCGGATATTTTCGACATTTTCAATAGATATCGACGATAGTCCAAGATAGACAGTATCGTAGCAAATTTTAAATATGGCGAAGAGAAATACGACTCTGCCCAGCGCGGAAGCCCCACATGGGCCCTTGGTCATCCACCGGCACTGGTGGCGCTGTACGACGCGTGCCGTAAGGAAGAGCATCGTCACCAGATTTCCAATCTATATCGAACGCCGTGACGCAAAGATAGAACCTCCTTCGCCATCGAAATCCCCTGTCTCTCCGCCAGACCTAACCTCGCAAATTACGTAACCCGCCTACGCGAAGAGCGTGTCATTCGACGCTGTAAATATCGCAGCTTTACTCTTCCTTCCCGAAGCTTCCTATGGCCGATCGATATCTATAATTGTTTCGTCACTAGCCACGTGTACTATTTCACTAGTCTCGTAATAGTTACGTCATGCACCCTTCCCTGTATCCCGCTGATCGGCTTGAAGGATCGAAATTTGGATCGAATTTTCGATCGAAATTTGTTCGAGGGAACGTCAGCATAGACCGGGCCCGAAATTTATCAAAGGGGCCATTGACGAGGCTTTGCTAGTCGACCAATTACCCCGTAATAGGCCGGGCCAGGACTCCAGACAGACACCTAATGTTCCAGCGTCGGTCGACGAGCTCGTGAATTGTCGAGGACAGTGAAAAGGAAACGGCACGGGCCCCTCATGCAGATGTCTCGTGCAGTCGCACCTGGCGGCAGGTGGTGGCTGCCGCGGGGGTTCCCTGTCCCCCTCCAGCGCCGTTGGATCCGCGCGTGTGCCCGCGATCATATGTTACCTGGCGCGTGTTCAGCCGCCCTCCACGAGGAAACCGATCAACTGCTCGACACGGACCGTGGAATCCGGGTCGAGCGTGTCCTGGTGCAGCTCTTTCGAGCCTCTTGCTCGCTTAACGTCGTGGATTTCGTTTCTAATTCGAGGATGGAGGTTGCGGACCGTAGCAGATGCGATTCAATCTGGAAGGGAGCTAGGGAATTTTTGGGTACCTTGATCATATCGAGATTGGGGATTTTATGGGAATTTTAAAAAGAAATAGAGGTCTTAGAGGGAGTCCTGATCATAATACTGGGAGTTGTAGAGTTGAAGAGGTACTTTGGAGTGGGGCTAGGGAATTTTTATTCCCTTTAGAGTGTGGTACTTAACACGGATCTAGGGAGTTTTTAGTTAAATCGATAGTTCTAACATTGACAATTTTGTACTCTACAAGTGATAAAAATTGGAGGTTAAGAACTCGAGAAAGGATCTAGGGAATTTTTAGTTACTTTGACAGTTCTAGCATTGAACACCTACTGGAAGCGGTAATGAGAATTCTCTTTACTAAATTCTTCAGCTTTTCTTTTACTAAATTCCTTTGATCATAGTGCAGGGACTTCTGGGAACCAAAAGGAAATCTAAGAATCTAGGGAATTTTTAATCAGCTCAGTAGCTTCCACTTTGAAAGTCTGAGGCTTGGAAACTTTGAAAGTTGACTTTGAATGGGAGTGTCAGGTCTCAGGGAGATCAAGATAACACCTAAGAAAGAACCAGACAATTTTCAATTATCTTGATAGCATTGAAATTTCCTAGAAACATGACTGAGACTCAAGGAGAGTGGGAGATTCTGACAGGATCCTTAATGGACTTCGAGTAGAGTCTTGATCTCGGCGCAAGGACTCGTGAAGATCAAGAGAAAATAACTTTATTGATCCTCGTGATACGTAACATCGATTCGAACGCTGCCAACTCTTCCTCTAATCGTACTCAGCCCCAATCGTGATGCTCATCTCTTCGGAAACGATCGTCGTTTGGTGGTACCAGCGATTAGTGTCCAGGACAACTGCACGAGAAGTGGACAATTAGAGGACTTCATCGTCAAAAAATTCGGGGCTAACTTTCTTACTTATTTCACCAGGATGCACCACGACCTCTAGCCTGCTGCAAGCGTAATAGCACTCTCTGGGTGGCTCCAAGGTCCACAGCTTCTTTCCCTTGATCTGTGCCTGCCAGGAAGGATGTTCCACGTCATCCACCTGGAAGGAACGAGTTCTCTCATGGATGGAGATAGGAAGTGGAATGGAATATAAATTTGAATGAGTACCCACGTGCATAGGGGCCCCATATCCGTGGCTACCCATGAAGATCCAGTCGGTCTTCTCGGACTCCGCGGTGACTGGCAGGAAGTATGGCCTCTGGTAGTGTTGCCTGAGAACACTGCCGATTTTCTCGTCGCAGTTGCTCCTGTTAGCGAAAATTAGAATTCTGTGAATGATCAGAATGGTTTCTGACAGGTTGGGACTTATTTCACGTTTGCAGTAGTAGCCTATGCCTATATCTATAGGGTACCTGGACCTATAGTGTGCTCCTAGTCGATATCATTATTGTGTATATACTATAGATGAAATTTTGATTAACACGATGGATATCGAATGAATATCTTCGTCCGAATCTAACCTCTTTTCGTTTCATCGTCTAGATAATATTTCTCTGTTTACATACGACAATCAATTTTGCATCACCCTGTACAAAGCAACGGCCACCTCGTAACGCGACACAGATCAACCTCGTCGAGCTTCTAACGATGAAGAGACGGGAAACATGAAACAAGTCGTACGACACGAATGTGAGTTTCTAGGTAATTGTTCCACGGGATGAATACGGACCGATGTAGTTTGCTTGTAAGCTCGTTAGCCGGATTGTGTGCATACGTGCGAGCTTTAGGGCGGTTATGGAAGCCCCAAGACTACGCTGTTCACGGGCACCGTTCGCCCAGACTTCCGGAACACCTATTGAGAGCCTGGAACCTCGAGGAACCGGGCCAACTTGCCTCGTCCCGAATCAGAAAATTAAGAACGTAACGCGATATACTCACCAGCCCACGTACCACGGCTTGGTCCCCTTCTCCAGCAGGGACCGACTGGCGCTCATGTCGAACACATCCTGAAGGCTTTTGAACTCCGTCTTGTAGGGGAAGAACTGGCAATTCGCGTCCTCGCCGTCGTACAATGACTTGAAGAAGGTGAACGAGAAAATCGTTGTTGCTGTCCAGTTGGTCGTGGCATCTGTCACCACTACGGGCCTGCCAGAGTAGGCGTAACTGGCCCGAGAAAGGAGCAGAGTGGTTAAGAGTTCGTGGAGGAGACTATAGAATTTTGGGAGTAAGGAAGTTTGGAATTATACAACTTGGAGACTATAGAATTTTGGGACTAATGGAACTTTGAGACTATGGAACTTTGGGACTATAAAACTTTGGGCCTATGAAACATTGGGATTATAAAACTTTGGGACTAAAAAAGTTTGGGACTACAAAACAATGAGGCTATGGAAGTTTGGAACTTTGGAACTCTGGGACTATAGAACTTTGGGTCTGTAATAACTTTGGGAGCATGGAAATTTGCAATTATAAAGCTTTGGAACTATAGAACTTTGGGACTATAGAATTTTGGGACTATAAAACTTTGGGCCTATGAAACTTTGGGACTAAAAAAGTTGGGGACTACAAAACAGTGAGGCTATGGAACTTTGGAACTTTGGAACTTTGGAATTCTAGGACTATAGAACTTTGGGTCTGTAATAACTTTGGGAGCATGGAAATTTGCAATTATAAAGCTTTGAAACTATAGAACTTTGGGACTATAGAATTTTGGGACTATAAAACTTTGGGCCTATGAAACTTTGGGATCATAAAACTTTGGGACTAAAAAAGTTGGGGACTACAAAACAGTGAGGCTATGGAACTTTGGAATTTTAGAACGCTGGGACTTTAGAACTCTGGGACTTTGGAACACTGGAATTATAAAACTTTGGATTTGTAATAACTTTGGGAGCACAGAAATTTGCAATTATAAAGCTTTGGAACTATAGAACTTTGAGACTATAATAACTTTGCAACTATAAAACTTGGATATTATAAAATTTTGGAACTATAAAACAAAAAAATTATAAAACTGCAAAACTACACGAACAAGCATGCAAGTCGCGGTATACTTCCTGTATTACAGACTATAGTCGAACAGATGTTGGGTCAGGGTTAATTCCGAAACGTAAATGGAGCAAGAACGATCCGCGAACGCGGATCGGGTAGATTAGGGGAATCGGACAAGCCAGTACCGTTCTTCGAAAGTGGCAGGATCCACGTTGGATATCCTGTCAACCTGTTGAACGTCCCGACAGATCGAACAGTCCTCAGCCGGCCGGAATACTTTCTGCGTGAACGAGGGTAGCTCCGCCAGGCACTTGAAAAACATTCTACCCTTAACAAAAATCCATCTGCCAGCTCTAAAATATCATTTTAAAAGAGAAGAAGACAGAAAAAGAAAACTAAAAACAATCCTAAATTGTTTCGAGAAGCTCACAGAACTGGGATAGGATCACCAAGCTGTCAAAACCATCTGACTAGGTCTAGTCAGACCTGCCTGTCTCAGTACCAACCCCAAACAATTCAAAAACTAATTCTCTTTAATCATATTCATTGATACTAAACGAATTGCAAATAAATTTAATTTCCCCAATTTCATTTAACCCCATCCATTCCAAAAATCGAATTTTCTCACAAGTGCATGAACATTGAACTTCTTCACTCTCAGTTCAGCTGAATTCATATTCATTCAGCAAAAATTGATAGACGATACATCCCACTCTGTACAGGCCTCAGAAATAACAGGATACAAAATGGCGACCAATCTTCCACCAAGAAAATGGTCCTGAGTGATCTATTTAATCGTAGAAACGACTTGATCCACGTTCAATATGCTCGATCCCACAACTCACCTTGTCATAACGTACAGTGCGAGTGTAATTCCAAAGGAACTGTCCCAGAATCCACGCGAGGATCACCAGGATCCACAGGTGTCTCTTTCCAAGCTTCGATCCCGCAGGTCTGAGGAGGCACCTAGCCCGGAGCAGCTTGACAGACCTGCTAGGTAGCGCTGTCTCCTCGATCCTCGTCACTATCTGTCGCAGTTCCTTCCTAGCTAGCTCAAAGGACCTCCGCGAGGACTCGCCGGTCAATCTGTTGCTGTTCACGTCCGTCATGACATCAAATGGTAGATCAGGCCCTCCGAAGCTTCCAAACTTGCGCTCAAACTCAAATCCAAAGTCTCCAAACTACTCGATCGGTCTCTCCAAAGCTTCCAAAGCTTCCAAAGCTCCCAAAGCTTCCAAAGCTCCCAAAGCTCCCAAAGCTTCCAAACTCCGAAGCTTTTAAACCTTCCAAATTTGCTTCCAAATTCAAATCCAAAGCCTCCAAACCACTCGATCGGTCTCTCCAAAGCTTCAAAAGCTTCCAAACTCCAAAGCTTTTAAAGTTTTTAAACTTGGTCTTAAACTCAAATCAAAAACTTCCAAGTCACTCGTTCGGTCTCTACAAAGCTTCCAAAGCTTCCAAAGCTCCCAAAGCTTCCAACCTCCGAAGCTTTTAAAGTTTTCAAACTTGGTCTCAAACTCAAATCCAAAGCCTCCAAACCACTCGATCGGTCTCTCCAAAGCTTCAAAAGCTTCCACACTCCGAAGCTTCCAAAGCTCCCAAAGCTTCCAAACTCCAAAGCTTTTAAAGTTTTTAAACTTGGTCTCAAACTCAAGTCAAAAACTTCCAAGTCACTCGTTCGGTCTCTACAAAGCTTCCAAAGTTTCCAAAGCTCCCAAAGCTTCCAAACTCCGAAGCTTCCAAACTCCGAAGCTTCCAAAGCTCCCAAAGCTTTTAAAGTTTTTAAACTTGGTCTCAAACTCAAATCAAAAACTTCCAAGTCACTCGTTCGGTCTCTACAAAGCTTCCAAAGCTTCCAAAGCTCCCAAAGCTTCCAACCTCCGAAGCTTTTAAAGTTTTCAAACTTGGTCTCAAACTCAAATCCAAAGCCTCCAAGCAACTCGTTCGGTCACTACGAAGCTTCCAAAGCTTTCAAACTCTGAAGCTTCAAAAGCTTTCAAACTCTGAAGCTTCAAAAGCTTCCAAATGCCGAAGCTTCCAAAGCTTCTAAACTTGGTCTAAAACTCAAATTCAAAGTTCAAATCCGAAGCCTCCAAACCACTCGATCAATCCCTCCAAAGCTTGCAAACTTGATCTCAAATCCAGAGGCTCCAAACCACTCGATCAGTCCCTCCAAAGCTTCCAAACTTGGTAAAAACCTCGATCTCTCTCAATCTTGCTCGAATATAATCTTCGTATAATCCTCGAATAATCTCCAGATTCCTCGAACCCGATTACCAAACTCGGAACCAGGTCCGCTCACAGGGTCCACTCTTGTCACGAGGACCCAATGTCGAATCTCTCGTCTCTCTTTCGACTTCTCGAGGTCCCGAGGACCGCCGGTAGTCCTGATGGTCGACGTGGAACTGTGCCAGGATGCTCCCGCGAGGCAAAGGACACGGTTGCGCACGGGGATGATGCGACCACGGGGGTGTGAAATGAACAAGGATCTGGGCTACCGATTGATCGGGACGAGATCTGCTCGAGCCCGTGGAAAAGGCTGATCGAAACAATTTCTCGGGCAATTTCGACCCACTGACAGAGAGACATCTCGCGGAGAAAGGGGAAAAGTGACGGGCAAAAATGGCGGACCCTTTGGTCCTAAGTTCTCGGCCGCGAGGACCAGGAGATTCGCAAATGGACGATAAAATTGGGAATGGGAGGAACGGGGAGGGGGTTGGTTTTTCGGTCGACGGGAGGCAAATACGACGGGGAAATAAATAAAAAAAAAGAATAATAGACGTTAAAGTGGCGCTCGAACGGATCGCTCTCCACTGAAACGTGTGCTTTCTTATCACATGGAGCAGGTGCCGGTGCTCACCGAGCCGCGAGGATTTTCTTGTTAAAATACAATCATCGAGCCAACCCTTATCGCTCGCTCCCATTTCTTTAACGCCGCTCCTTTCCGCCTAGGATCCATCGATCTCGTATTAATTTTTACCCCCACTCTCGCTGGATTTCTTTTATTCCTCGGATCAACCTTTTCAAGGATACTTGCACGTGAATTCAATTTTTAAAATGTTATGATTATTGCAAGGAAGGAAATTATATTTAATATTATATATATTATTCTCCATGGCACCCCTTAAAAATAAAAATAAAGAACCTCGTCGAATATCGTCGATAATTGCGATTTATTCTATTTTGTAACGAATGCTTCGAAATTATTGTAACTTAAAAAGAGTTGAAAAATATTTTTAATTCCATATACAGGGTGGGTATTTGGTCTGGATGAAAATGGATTTACAGGATTATTGTTTATTACGAAGGGAGAGTTTGGTGGATTATTTTCTTTGTGTGTAGAATGATACAGGAGATTTGAAGATCCAATTATTTTTTTAAAATGGAATGCTATGCTTTTTTTTTATTCTTCTAATTTTTGTTATATAATTTTTAAATTCGAGAGCATAGGGGGATGAATAATAATTGGAATACGGATTAAGCGAAGTATAAAGTGGGTTTCGAATGATAGAAACACACGTGCACATGGGATAATTCTCGCGAAATTGTGGCAGAGAAGGGGTGGTTTCATTCGACGGCCAGAAGGGATCCACCGTTTACGATTGCAAATTGACAATCTATCCGGCAATCTGCATCTTCGTTAACGGTATCGACGTCAGGTTTTCCCTTCATTTTCTCTCTTTTTTGATCGATCGAGGATTCTCGTCGCGGTATACTTTTTAGGGGATGAAAATTTAACGTTTCGAAATAATTAGGTTCGAATTAGACAGAAAGTAAAAGAGGAGAAAAATAAAAGGATTGAATTTTCATTTTTTTAATTAAACTGATTTTTTCCTTTTTACATTTACGTAATTTTGAGACGAATTTTTTTTCTTTTAGGGGTAGTTTTGAATTTCCCCTTTTTTTAAATACGCGAAATTTTTTTATTTTTATGTATATCTAATTTTCAGATGGATTTTTTTTATGAATAGAGTAGTATCAAATTCTTTTTTTTTAATGATAAAAAATCATCTTTTTATGTACAAACAATTTTAAAAAGGATTTTCTTTTTCCTTTTTGTGAATGTGTTAGTATCGAATTTTTTTTTTTATCAGTGGAGTAGTATCAAATTTTCTTTTTTTTTTATCAATGGAATAGTATCAAATTTTCTGTTTTTTTTTATCAATGGAGTAGTATCAAATTTTCTTTTTTTTTTCAATTATACAAAACCATATTCTTTTTATATACAAGAAATTTTAAGGATTTTTTTTTCTTTTCTGTGAATGTGTTAGTATCGAATTTTTTTTTTTTAATTCCACAAATTTTGTGCTTTATGCACACGTAATTTAGAGATGGATTGTTTGTTGTAAATGGGGTAGTAAAGAAGCTGCGACAGCTGGTTTCAGCGCAATTAAATTCTTTAATTGTTGTCAGTCGGGTTCGAAATACACTAGTCGATCTTTTATCGTTAATAATTATTGTATATACTGTGGTACTCCTCCGATATAAATAATACGACGTCAATAAAATAATGACAATATGTTTGCTCTTCGTCCCCCGTCTTAACAAATTATATATATATATATATTATATACCTACTTCATTTAGTACTTGCTTGCCGTCGATAGATTGCGTAAAACACGTACGAGTTAAATAAAAACGGCGATGACGGTGATAATGATCGTGACGATGATAATCCCCACCGCGTTTACTCTCAAGGGCGACGATGGGGGTGGAAGTCTTCGTGACGAAACAACGTGTACCCGTTCAAAAATCGAACAAAATCACCCCAAAATCATTCCAAAAATTTTCTAACAATTTTTCCCAATAATCCCCCCCCCCAAAATTAATTGTTTAAAATTAAACAAAGTAATCAAAATTGAAGAATCTATAGCCACCAAAAATGATTAAAAAAAGATTGAATTTCATCGAAAAGACGCTTCCAAATATTCACCCCATCCCCACCCTCACGTCGGACTACAACGTTTTACAATTAATACTAAATGTGTGGTGAAACTCCTCTAATACATCTAAAATGCACATCCATGCTTATTTAATGCTCCTTTAATTTAAATACGTATGCAGCACTGTAGCCTATCATTTTTTTTTCTCTATTCGTTATGCACGTGTCTGTGTCACTCTCACCCTCTCTCGTTCTCTCTCTTTCTCTCCCACCCTCTCTCTCCCTTTCGCTCTCACCTCTATGCGTGTGTACGTGCCGTGTGTATGTGTGTGCGTGTGTGCTTGTGTGCATGTATGCCTGTGTGTACATGAGATACGTGAAATTCTTCTTCCTCCTCTTCGAATATTCCTCTCCCTCTTGTCTCGCGATTTTTCCACCCCTCTCTTCGACGCTGAAAATTCGTGATCTCCCTCTGGTGGCCCGAGCTCGAACCTCTGGTTCGTCTCTCTCTCTCTTTCTCTCTCTCTATATATATATATATATTTATTTCTTTATTTCATAGATGATACTCTCGTGTGGGTGTGTGTGAAGCTTCCACTCCTCCGTTTCCTTGCCTCCTCGATCCGTTCATGCTCGTCTTCGCTGTCTTCTTCGAGGTCGATTGCTTGATGGAGCGGTCTGATGGTGTCACTCGACATTTTTTGCGCTATCAGTCTTCTTCGAGTGATCGGTGACAATGATCGCGGTGAAGGGTGAATCTGGGATCTTCGCGCGGGCGCAGCTCGGCGATCGATCGTGATATTCTTCGATCTTCCGGATTCTACGGGGAACGTGGACGGGGCTTGGTCTGGAGCGTAATGGACAGAGGTAGAAAGATTGGTCGGTGTTTCCGAAGCTGAGAAACTTCGTGTCAACCCTTTCACGGCAGCCTTAGCGCGAGTTTGCGTTAACTCACTAGCGCCACCACGGTCCATATCTCCGGTAAACGTAGCGTAGCGTCGTACGCAGCGTTGAATCGTTTCGTAGTTTTGCTGCGCGTGTTACATCGTTCTCGCGAATTTTTCTCGTGAAAGGGCTATGGGATCTTGGTAAGGGAAATATGGAAATTATTCGAAACTCGGTTCAGAGGAGAATTAGGGACGCGGATTTTCGAGGACGCCGAAGGCATTCTTGGATTTTTGTAAATCGAAGATATGCAAAATTGGAGATTGGATTAGTGAAAATTGTTGTAGGAAGGATCGAGATTGGTCGTGGAAATGCTTCGATCTCTTGGGAGCTCGGTGACACAAACTGCGCGAAGAGATATGGTAATATTCTTACGATTAAATTTTTACAGGTTGGAAAAGTCCGATAGAAAAGTAGAAAAGTTCAATTTTGAAGATCCTTTGATTCTTTGGCATCTCGGAGTGAGGAAATTATACCAAGGAATCGTGAAAATACATCTAATAATTAAAAAAAAAAAAGAAAAAGGAATAATGGATGAACGAGATGGAGAAATTTGATCGGAGTGAGTTGGATGAAGAACGAATTATTTCTTCGGCGAAGGATTTCGTATTTTGATCTAGAGGATCGAGATCGATTCGCGACCTGTCCCGCGGAAAGCAGCATCGCGAACAGCTTGGTTCGCCGTTCGTGGAAAAGACAGCTCCTTAGGCCGGTGAGAATCGTGTAAAAAACGGCGTAAAAATCGCTAGTAAAACGCGACATCGTTTTAAAAAAATTCCGAACGAGTCGCTGTTCGCTTCTCCTTTTTTACTTTTTTTTTCTTTTTTGATCATCTTCCTCCCCCTTCCTCCCTCTCTCTAACCCACCGGGAACCGTAGGCTGAATCGCGTGGAAACGTTTCGATCTATACATCGATCCGGCGTAGAATCCTCCTCGAACGACCTCGAATTTCCATCCAATTCTTCGAACAGCCTTGCCCACAATCGCAAGATTCGTATTATAAAATTAAAAAATGGTGAAAAAACGGATCGGAGAGACCCGTAAAAATTTCCCGATCGTTCGAGCAGAATTCGCGTTCGATCTGTACGAAGCTTTCTTCGATTATGCAAAACGCGCAAAAGTAACATACACAATGCACACAGTAGCGTGTCTAAGGATTAAAAATCATTTTTAACGTAATCGTAATTCATCCTAACAGCTGCCACGATAACTTTTCTAAAAAAGAAAGAAAAATGACAAAAGTCCCGTTTATAAAAGACGCGGGAAGAATACAATTTGAAATTCGATCGAACGAGCCTCGTGCAACGACCGAAGCAAAAGTCCCTGTCTTAATTTGTACCAAAAGAGTGCCTACGCCATGTGCAACGAAGGAGAGAGACAGGGTGAATCGAAAACGGGGATACGCCCCTGATGATCGTTCACGAGGCTTGCGTATCTTTTCACACGTGGCCGTGTCGAGGAAGCCGGTTTGGAAATTCGACTTGCAGAGTTTCGAGGCTCGCGTGGGCTTCGACATTCCGCGAAACGAAGACCGCGCGAGATGAGGAGGCGCGATGGCCGCCGAGGAAGATAACGATGGTACCACTGGCTGGATCGCGTGATCTTGGCGCTGCAGATGCCGAGATTTCGCTAAATACCAAACGTCAACAATCGTCCAGACTTTGATTCGAAACGTAGGAACATGAACTGCACTGCAGAGGTACCTCGGAGATGCCGTTCCCACGCGGGGAACGCTGATTGGACTGCAGCGATCGTTAAAAACTATATAACAGACGTTAGAGACTTTTCGATGAGATAACAATGAATTTTATAATCTCCATGGAGCGTACAGCGAACGTACGAATGAGCCATCCAGTGGGACCAACAATGGAAGAAGATGGCTGCCTCGACACGGCGCTGCGGTCGCTCGCACGTGTGCGCATGCGCGGTGACACGGGTCCGCCGTTTCTCGCTGGTCAGCCTCCGGTCGTCTACCTTGTCCCTCCCATTTGTCTTTTTTTTCACAGTTTTTCCTTTTTATTCGGCGAGCCTGCCACTCCACTGACTACCTTTACAAAAATCCTCCGTCTCCCTCCACCAGTTAACTCTCTCTCTCTCGCTCGTCAATCCTCGTAGAAAATTAGAAACGCTGGTTCACGGAAAGAATAAAAAGCGGATATCAAAATCTCGGTTCGTTCGTGTCGGCTCCGTCGGTCCTCCGTATCAACGACTCGCATATCGCCGAAGGAGGACCGCCATTTGTCTCTTCCCCTCTTCCACGCTCGCTTCGCGTCTCTGGCCCAATTCTGGCCCACTTTTCTCCACGAAAAAGCCATCCGAAGCTTCCCAACTGAACTTCCCAACGTTTAATCCTCGTCACCCCCTATAACACACGCCAGAATTCGCGTAGTTTGCCGCGCAAACTTAGAGACATGTCTCTACTCGAAAGTTAGGCCAGAAGGGGGTGCCAGAGACGAGCGTGCGCCTGAAATTTACCGAAATTTCGAGCCGGGGCCACTGTTGGGTAGACGATAAGCGGTCCGGGAAGTTTCAGCGAACTTCAGGCGTGGAATTTCGACGAGGAGCCATCGGAGCCGTGCGGTGTCACATTGAGCGGAATGGTCCAGGGTCCTCTAAGAGGCTCTCGCGGCGGACTGGCGCGGAGGATCTGCTAGCAGTCCGATAAGCTCGAAGGGTGCCTCTCGATTCGCGGAGAGGCGCGATTTGCCCGTTATCGGCTCGATATCTCCATGCTAATCACGATCACGCGCTCGTTTCTGTCCGAGATCGCGTTGCGGATCACGATGATATTGTAACAATGGCTGGATACGAAAGACGGTGTGTCAGTGATTAATCGGTGATCCAGTTGCTGATCGAGTTGGTAACCCATGACACTCGTACAACTGACTCGTGACGGATCATGGTTGTCGAATCGGTAGTTCCCATCGGAATGAGATTCGCGCGAGTTGCGTATACGGTTGTTGCTCTATCGAGGCATTGTTACAGTATCATTGACGACGTTACAGGTGTCTGCTGGTTCGCAGAGTTTCGCAATTTCCTTTCGCGTTTCCTGCCTTTTTCATGACAGAGACGATCGCGCGAGTCTCGCGATTCGATTGCTCCCCGATGAAGCAGGTCGATCCTGACGCGACTGATACCTGGCAGAGTAACGACGATACAGCTTCTGCTTCCGGTGGCACGTCGACGATCGTCGCGACCGCTGATCCATGGCTCGATCTCGTCGCTCGTTCGATCGATGAGGCATTCGAGGGATGAGTATGTACAAAAATCGGACTGGCATGGACGACTACGCGTGGATGACGAAGAGATCGAAGAAGCAGAAGAGCACGCTTCTCGGGATGAACGAACGTGTGTTTTTGGACCGGTTACGCGAGACGATCGACGAGATCGATGCTCATATGCCATTTTCCTTCCTTTTTTTTTTCCTCTCATCTTTCCTCGCCCTTTTTTTATTTTTTTTTTTTGTCTGTTTTTTTTTCTGTTTAATTCGATCGCGACGTGCATACAGCGAAGCGTTTTTATGTGTATATATATATAATTTTGTTTGTTTCATATATATAGATCTATGTATATATAATTCTGAATCGACGAAGGAGAATTATAATTATAATTATAATCTTTGTCCCCGCGTTGGTGTTATACTTTCTCTTCGTGGCTATAATCGTAATCGCGAACACACTCGATTTTTTCAACTGTCGTAATAATATTATTTAAGAAATAGAACAAGGATATATTTATTTGTATATATATAATATATATGTATATATATCTATATATATATAATATGTATATCGGCTATCAATAATGTCATCTCTGTCAAACATTCGATAACATTGAACATCACATATCTCTATCCTCATTCGCACCCCTCCCGCCCTTAACCCCCCTTTACGTCGATTCTCCACGTCCCCCTTGGTCTCCGTCTTTTGGTTGCACCTCCCTTTCCGTTTCCATTTTTCCCATTTTTACCATTTTTACCATTTTTACCATTCAATCATTTACTCGACAGTAATACTCTAGACTATGAAGAAGTATAATAACAGCGAAGAACCGTGATAATCGTGTGTCTTCAGGATCATCGAGCGATCCGTTCTATAATTCTCTCCTTCCGATCTGCCTTCTCATCCTGCACCACGCGATCCATGGATCTCGTCTGTCGGCAACGGTGCTCCCTCCTCGGTTTTACCCACTTTCTTTCTCCCCTTTTCCCCTTACTTTCGCCGAACTCGCGAATGGACAGTTTTATACGGGCAGGCGGACGATATAGTATCATGCTAGATCACACGCTCTCTCTCTTTCTCTCCCTCATTCACCCCTCTTCCTCACGCACTCCTCTTTCGCACGATCGGTCGGAGAAATGGGGGAAAAGAGGGAAGAAAGAAAGCGCAGCCGGCAAACATTCGGCATCCTCGTTACATGCCACACCCACAGCCTCAGAAGTTTACATAATACGATAATGTAGTAATCGATACGCCCCTAACAAGTGTCTGTGTCGGTGTACGTGTATAATATATCTATATAATATATTTATATATATATATTCATTCATCTTTATACCTTCCTGTATTTATAGCAGCGGCCTCGCGACCGCGTTACTCGGTGATATTATTAATAACATTAATAATGATCGCTCGCAGTAATACCGTCTACTTAATCTTAGTAGTACTCTTGCCGTACGCGTGCATCCTCCACGACTACCGCCTTAAAATATACATATACATGTATATATATAATATTTATATTCATATATATAGTATATATATTAATTTAGAATTGTGCAATGAAGGTTTAGAGCCATTAGTGCGACTACTGCTGCGGATGTGGTCGGACAAGTCGCTGTCAGTGTCTACTATACATCGATACAACGTGGGGTGCGGAGTGCGATACTTCATAAATCTCTCTCTCTCTCTCTCTCGCTCACTTTTACATATCGTTTGATCCTAACAACAAGACCGCGCCATAAGCAGATACCGAAACTTCCATGGATATACACGCTGAGAAGCGCCTGTGTCCCTTAGCCACTAACACCTCTATACCCTTCTTGTCCTCAGTCTTGCGTTTCCCTCCGACATACATCGTCTCTCCCAGCATATCGGACCATTCTCAGTGCGTTATCAAGAAAGTAACACCGAGAAGAAATGATAGAACGAAGAATATCCCATCGTCAATGCCCTAGCCAGTGTTCCATCTTCCCGCAAGCTTCCCTCGGATCTTCCCTCCAACCAGCGAGCTAACGCCTCTCCTCCTCGTTCGATCCTCTCATCAGACACGCGGTCCTCGTCCGTGTCTGCGCGAGAACCTCGTCGTCTACGCGTACAGCAGCCTCGGGGGAAGGATGACAGCCTCCTGGACGGCGGCTGGGCCATGCACACCCTGTTATACCCAGGAGTCGCCGGCAGAGGCGACCGTGGAATTCGGCGGAACGTTCACTGTCGCGGTGGCAGCCGACCCGTCAGGGACACCCACGCCGTCGGCCACCCATTGGCCAGCCGTGGGTGCACCGGCTGCGACGCCCACTCCCGAGCCGACGACGACCGGGCCCTGACCCTGCGCCTGGCCCACCCCCAGCTCATACTGCCGCTTCTTTTTCTTCTCCAAGTTAACTTGCGCGTAGAGCGGCTCACCGGGTTTCGGTTGCTGCAACACACACACAAGCCAACGGTTAGTTAGAGCCCTGGCTCCTAGGGTAGCCGGGGGTGGATCGGTCGGGGGTGGGCCGTCGCGTCGCTCGGGGAAACTGGACCCGTTCGGATTTTCCTATTCCTCCTTTCCCTTTTCGTCCTCTTTCACTCTCGACCTCTCTCCTCCTCTCTGCCCTTTCTTAACAGTTTACAACGGAACCTTTCCGGGGGCAGCCTTCGAGGGGAGGGGTTCTAAGGACGAGACTGGAGCTACCCTCGAGAGTGGGCGACTGACAGCGAGCTGTCAGAGACCAGGGATACACTGAAGAGAAGGATCTGGGGGGTGAAGATTCTAAGACTCCTGAGCGAATGGATGCGGTGGGTTACTGTCAGATACTCTTTTATTATGCTCGATTAATTTGGATATAAATAGATTATAAATAAGTTCGTGCAATAGTCAACGTGTCACTATAAACCATGCTTCGTGGTGCGTCTAGCTTTTCTCTCGTACGATAAAAGTCGCTTAACGAGTGTGTCTGTGTTTGCGCGTTCGTTTTATATATATATATATAAAGAAAAAAAAAAAAATCAAAAAGAAACGAAAAAATGGAGGAGAAATTACACTGTTGTTTTTGTCCTCTCGTCACCGTTACCCTGCTTGTTCTCGACTGGAAAATGGAGTCGTGCGTTGAATCGGAACCGAACACTCTATGTGTGTATGTATATATATATATATAATACGTTCCAGTTTGTTTAACATTATTCTTACTGTATATCGTAGATAGACTATGGATCACCTGGGTCAACGAGTGGAAATTAAGTCTTCTATAGAAACAGACTTGCCCGTAATGGAGTCTCGTGGAACAAGTGGATGTCGCGCTACGTCCTACGGTAATCGTGTTAATCACTGTCAATTAGGCAGCGTGCATCAGCCTTTTCACGGAGATAGTTTTGTGCGCTTGTCTTATTTTCTCGTACCCTTCTCCCCCTTCTTTCTCCACGTATCTATAAGACACGATGCTGAACAGAGCGATGGTTGGAATTTTGGAAAGACATTTTGGTTAGACGTTGGGGCAACGTCTGCGACGGCTGGACGCGCTCCCTAATCGTTCGATACTGTCGGGTACTTGGTCCTGTAGCAGCTAATCTCTCGTACAATCGCAGAATCACGCTTCGACGTTAACGAACCGACGCTCCTGCGCTATGATCGGCTATCACACGCTAGACGGCATAGTTAATAGAGCGTCACTCAAAGGAAGTGTCCCCTACATGTCGCTACATGCTCGCTATTTAAACGGAATTCACGGTGAAGAAGAGGCGGATCGGAAACGATGGGCGTCGTGGTCGCGAACGGGTCGTTGTCCCCCTGGTGTGTAAAATTCGAATCGAAAAATTGCCCCGTTACAATTCGTGCACGGTGTAAAAAGGTCGAAAAGATGGCGGATATCAAAGTTCGTTGGAGAAAGGAAAACATTGGCGGGTTTAAATTCGGCCAATCCGAAGAGGCGTTCGCGTCGTCGAGCTAACGAAGACTATAGTTACAAAAGGTAACGTAATTGCGTTTCGATGAATCCATATTCCTCTCTCCCTTTCTCTCTCTCTCTCTCGTTCGTTATCGCGAGTGTCGCGAACGACGTAAATCCTGGCCTGGTTGAGCGGCGATAACGACTTACGTAAGTGTCGATTATTATGTAAAAATGCTAGATACTTGATAATTCCGTGGACTGTTTTATGCGTGATCGCTTAATGCGATCCCTTCTTCTCTCTCTCACACACACACACACTCTCTCTCTCTCTCTTTCGCTATCGTAATACTGTGTACTCTATACGAATAATACGGGTTCCATAATAGCATGAAACGCGATGAATATAATTGGTACTCGTTAATTGACTTAGTTTATACACCTATGATAAATGTTACACCTTCGCTCTGTATCACAACTGTGTGACGTGTGCCTGTGTGTACGCGTGCGTGTGTATAGTGTGTGCCACCCGTTGTCTGCTTCGTTTCTTTTTGTCCTTTCATCTTTCTCCCCGTGGATTTTCCGCTCTCGTTACAATCACGGCCTGCTCTTTTTAGTCGCATCACTGTCGTATATTAGTGTCGTATAAATAATGGCGTTTCGCGTTCAACTGCGTCCTCCGTACGATAATTATCCCTCGCCTATGTTCTAGCATTTCGTGTGCACCGAAATTCCTCGTGTCCGTTCTAAATATACGTATCTATATCTATATAATAGAAAAACGGTTAACAAAAAGAAAGAAAAAATGGAGAAAATATGTATATGTATATAAAATAACAAACTCCGTGTAGAGCGACATCTCCCTTCTCGATGGGGCACCTACGAAGAGAAACTAACGGAATAGGATCTATTGCTCACTCGCTATTGAAACGTGAATGCGAGCTTGTCGATAACAGGAAGACTCGATTCGAACGGAATCACGCGTTGCTATGCAGAATCGCTATGCCTGAAGCGGTATACTTTCAACTTACGAAGCTCATCGTTCGCTCTTAAAACACACCTGGACGTTTCCTTTCGCTCGTTTTCGATCGCTTGCGAACTAAACCGTGGTAACTGCGAGCCAAACGAACGTGACAGTAGAAGAAAAGAATCGCAAAAGACTGCTGTGAACGGGACCATGTTCGATCCGTTCCTCGAAAGCGTTTACCCTCTTACACCTTGGGCTAATCGTGAAGAAAATGGCGCCCGATCGGAGCGCCACCGGAGCCTAAGTGTTCGTGAACGGTACCATTAGTTGTTGTTACTTACAGGCTGATATATAGTGGGTCGACCGACGTTATTCGAGTTCATGTTTGCTCTCTGAATCGTTCTGTCCTCGTATCTGGTGCTCCCTTGGCTCGCCATCGGCCGGTTCAGCGTGCTACAATCATAGCTACATTTAACGTGGAGTCGAGGAGTTCAAGGGAAAATGTGGACTCTGCTCAACCGAAATTATCCAACAGAATAGAAGCGAATAGAGAAAGCATATACGAAAGTGTTAAACGCAGAGTCCAGAAACAGAAACGACAAAAATCAAAGATCGCTTGGTCTTAAGGGAAAGAAACTATTAATTGGAAAATAAACGTGAAAACATTGGTCGCTGATCGACGAGAGGATACCTATTCGCGTTATTGGGTGAATTAGGCCCTGAATTCCGTGCTGCCACCGTTTTCGTCACGAAATCCTGCTCCTTCCAGCCGTGCTTCTTGTAAACGTCTCTCAGCTCTTGGTGCTGCCACATTGTGAACAAGACTTGTCCTAAAAATGAACAGACGTTTGATTCGTCGAATGTTGATTGATGCTCTTGCAACGTTTGATAGGATCAAGTACTGGTATTCGTTTGAGAATCTTGTCTTGAGAGGACTCGACTCATTCCTGGACACTTTTAGGCATATCAGACGCAGTCTCACCTGCAAATTTAAGAACACGGGGCGTATACTTCTGGCGTTGCCTTGTGATGTTCATCAGTCTATCGACACCGCCAGCGTCCAACAGAGATCGTGAGAACTCGGATTCTTGATCACCTCGTTCAAAGTGGCGAGGACTGCGGCAATCGTGTCGTCGCTGGTTCCCTGATCGTGTTGGTTATTCCCTGAGGGTAACTTCTGGATGAGATCACGCATCGCGTACTTTCCTATCAGCTCCTTATTGCGCTGGTCTATCGCCAGGTTTCTCAGAGCTGTGGCCACTGCGCAGACTACACGGTCCACCTGCAAGAAATGATCAAAATGAATACGTTGCACTTTGCATCACCACATTTTTATACTATCTCTGACATCACACGTCTCTATTTTTCTATTTTTCTACCATCTATCATCTACTACCAAGAGTATTCTTGCTTTACACAGATTCTATATTAACTATATCTAATTCTTCCAGGCCCAATGACTCCAACAAGCTGTACCTCCATCCGTAGCAGCTCCACCAAGATAGGAAGACCTTTTTCCTTCCTCACAGCTGCACGAATTTCAATGCTGGGCTGCCAGTAGCAGGCTGCGAGGTTCTGGAGTGCTCCAGCTGCTGCCTCCAGGGTCTCTGGGTTCGAACATGTCTGCAGAAGCTTCAGATAAGACTGGACCACTTCCGGCTGCCATAGCAGCTCCATGCCTCTGACTGGTTCTGTTCTTGGACTGGTAGTGCGTGAGGCAGTTGTCTCCTTCTGCACTGGTTGGCCATCCTTCTTCTTCTTACTGCCACCAAAGCAACCCAAGTTTTCACCTAAAGCACAGAGATTTGGAGGTAACATTAATTACAGAAGATCATGGTCGATGAATCTAGTAAACACTGCATGTGTAATGTTGCTGTACGTGTTCTGACAATGTTCAGTGAGCTTTTAGCCTTGGGGATTAGGATTTAATACTAGAACTACCAAATCAGTAAAGATAACTGATCTCAGACTTTTTCTTTTTACAGTCATTGATGGAAATATGATTATACGTAACTATTCATTTTCACCATGTCATTTTATTCAACGCTATCTGTGTACCATGTTTAAATACACGTTACTAGGTAGTTCTAATATTGAGGAAGAGTGAATCAGAGTGACTAGGATGTTGAACATGCAATTTAATGAAAATTAAATGTAAAGAGGACTGAGATGGATGTGTTACTCTTGTCGTATGAGAGCTAAAGTGTTGCTGAATTTTAAGATCCATGAGATGAGATGGAGGTTTGTGCGAATTGCTTCCAACCGGTTTGCACTACTTCTACGAAAGAGCTACACCAATACTTGGAACATGGCAAACAACGTGTCATCAGCGCAGTTGCGGGCAGCCAATCATAGTAACACGTATGCAAGATGCACGGAGGAGGATGCACTATTAAGGCTTGATGTACAAGGACTGCTAATGAAATTAATTGTAACGCTATGGAGACAATTGACCGTAACGTTTCAAGGCAATCTAACATTTCACACACGTTTGGAGTCTATGGTGTCGTTAGGTTTTTCTATTTATATCGCTTCTCTATGGATTTCGGTGTAACGTAGCGACACGGTTCTCTCTTTGTCTTTAAGCCAGAGCAACCATTAACGGAATCAATATTTGGACAGTGATTGCAACGTCGGTCACGTGACTTGTTTGCCAAACGATAGCAGACCGGTCTTTGAGTTTCCATAAAGTTAATGAGAGTTATCGGTTGTGGTGATAAAAAGAAAAAAAAAAAAAATGGAAAAAAGAAAAAAGGAGGAAGAAATCATGGAGCCAACGACATAGGTGACCGTCGAGAAGCGAGGCATGCACTGGCTATTTGGAGTTGACCCAAGAGTGAAAAACAAGGGGAAAACTTAGTACAGAAAGAAAACTAAATTAGCGATGGAAGTACAAGAATGTCTTACCTTGACATAAACTGTATGCTAAAAAGATTGAAACACATTTTAATCCATGCTAAACTAGGAGGGATATAAAGACTGTTTCATTTCTTTTTCTTTCTTTTTCTTTTCTTTTTCGTCTCTGACCTGTACGTGGTCTGACCTCGTACGAGGGAAGAATTCGTGACACAAGGATCAAGAGAAACAAGTGAGAAATCATAACACCGAGGGGGAACACAAAGATCAGTGTAGTTGCAAAAGAGATATACATACTAATCGACTGGTAATATGTGCTATAGCTAACATAGGTATCGTCTCGTCTCGCAAAGACATCGTTGCATCATTATCACGAACACATCCAATTATGTTCCATCAAACGTGTAAGCGGAATATCAACAGAGACGTAAGCGTTACAACGAATGTTCAGTGTACACAGGTATGGAATAATCATTTTGGTAGACTGAAGAAAGTATACGGGGCCAACTACGACTCCTAATCACTACCTTGCACGTTTCACACTCGACGGAATCTGAAGCGTGCAATATGTCATTAATATGCGACTGGTTTACTGTACAACACTGCGTTGCCAAGCGGATGTACAATTTTCAATGCTTCATTTCCTCCGTTATAACACCCGTCCAGTTCTCTGAACCGCGTTAAACTATTGCTACCACTATCGATCCTACTTTTCAGAGAACTGATTCTCATCGTACGACAATTTAGCCTACTTCGCGTAAATACAGCTAGTTACAAAAGCGAGGCAATCTCTGTCCACACGTTTGAAAACGATATCGCAAAGGTAAACAACGATATCAGCTCCTATCTTCGCACAAGCTAGAGCTTCCAAGACGCATAATCGTACAGAGGAATGCTAGAATGGTCCTAGCCAGTGTCAAAAATATTCCATTGCCTCGACTCTTGCACCACGCTGTACCACACACTGGCCATGGCGACTTGTGCGTCACCAGCAGCACTGGTGTATACAGAAAAATGACTGAACGCAACGACACGAAATTACACCCGCTCGCCGTTTCTATTCCGCAGTTGCAGCCAACAGAGGTGCGAACCTGCCCTCTTATCTTATCAACTCCCCCAGGGAAAAGGCGAGCCGTTTATCATCAGCGCACACACAATTCGGCTGCATGCGTGTCACACATGCCCACTGAGGGAACCCGTGTGTTTACCATGGCACGGGGGAAGGGTACACTCTCTCATTCCCGGAATGCAAAGATGTCTCATGAAGGACATCGACAAGCCCTCACCTTTGGCCGGCGCGGCTACCCTGTTCTGTACGGTCGACTGAATCGGGTGCTTATCGTAATTCGGATCCTCCACTTCCTGACACCGGTAGCTCAGGTTCCGCAGGATGCACACGCAGTTCTCCACGATCTTATTCCCAATGTTCGACTTCTCTATGGCGGATCGCACCACGTAGAGGAGAGCGTCCACCAGGCCGTCGCACTCGCGCAGCTTCTTCCTCGCGTATTCCCCAGCGCTGGAGACGTTTCTCAGCACGCCAGACGCGTTTCTGAACACGGTGGACCAGCAGGTTTCGCCGCTGGAAGAGCTAGGGTCCCAGCCGCTGTGCGGGATGATTATATTGTTCACCACCATCGTCACGCCGTCGTCGATGATGGACTTCTTGAGGTCCTGGAAGAAGCACAGACGTAAGAAAGGCACTTGGTCTTGGTATTCGAGGATCGTACGATATAACACAAGCTTCTGCTCACCTCGCACGAGGACAAATTCCACAGGACCCCCGTGACCAGCTCCTTCACGTCGGCGTCGGACGTCCTGCGTAACAGATTGATCAAGGCCGGGACACCGCCGGCGTTCTTGATAGCCCTCTTGTTCTCGTCGTTCTGTCTGCCGTATGACAGGTTCCTCAATGCTCCACAGGCGTTCCTGTAGACGTCCGGGTTGTCGTGATCCAGCAGCTGCACCAGCGGCGGTATGCCACCTAGGCTTCGCGTTTTCTGCTTGTTCGGGTCGTCCATGTAGCAGAGATGCTGCAGATAGGCGGCCGCGTTGGCCTTGATGATGTTGTTCGGGTTGCTGAGGAAGCCTATCACCTCTGAGAGGTTCGGGTCCCGCCATCTCATGGACTTCTGGTCGTCGTCCAGGGGACTGGCCATGCCTGGCACCACCGGATGCCGGGACTGTAACCGTTGTAGATGGACCTCGTCGTCGAACATCCCAGGTGGTACACCCGAGGGTAAGGGCACCGGATGGCCTTCGTCGTAGCCGGGTACATCGCTAGGAACTGCGACTGGACCTACCCCAACGCCGGGGCCGTATCCAACAGGTCCATAGGGGGACGGAGACACGTAACCGTAGGCCACTTTATTCTCGTCTGGAAAAAGCGAAGAAGGGGTCGATTACGGGACGACGATAGGGAGAAGTAGCTTCTGGGTTGTGCTCTAACGTATAGTCGAAACGCATAATTCACTCGCATTATCTGTGAGGCGGTGGCGTGGTTCGGAACCAAGTGGAATATGGACTCGCGACGGTAGAGAGGCTCGACGACGATAAACGCGAGCAGATGAGGCTTAACGAGAGAGAAAGAGAGAGGAGGAAGAAATAGAGAGAGAGAGAGAGAGAGAGAGAGACAGAGAGCGTGTTAAATAAATTATTGATGTGACCCTACCATGAGGATGCTGAGAGGGTTCGCCAGAGTCATCCATATTCCAAGAGTTGCTGATTTGATCTAGAGGGAACATAAAATAACAACGAATGTCAGGCATAGAGATAATTAAAGTGAATTATGCTGTGCCCCGTGCACGACCAGACAAATAGCCGCGGCCCGCTGCAACATGATAGCTGAATATCTCATTATAGAGCTGTCTAGGTCAACTCGGAAGGTTTTCTTTCGACCAAGGATAAAGAGACGAAGAAACGTAGGAGAATGGGTCCGCGAGGTTCACATGCTCTATTGCACTGTGCCCATCGCGTTTCGACACCGAACGTACCATATTGATCTCCGGGACCACCAGGACTAGGTGTAATACGATAATGATCCTGCAACGCGGGATTCAAACCTGGATCGATGTCGTTGTAACCGCCTTCCACGTACGGCGCCGCCTTGCGCAGGTATTCTTTGAGGGAAAACAGAGAAACAGAGAAACGAGATGTACGTTAGAGTCCTTGGATTTCTAGGCGCGAGCGATCTTCATTCCAATGACGATGTCGCGGCGAGATAAAAATAACGACGATCGCTTACCATGCGGAGGCGAGGCACGACTGTGCTCCGAAGGGCTATGAGGACTGTGAGGGGAATGCGAGCGCGGCATGTAGATGCCATGTGGACCCGGATAACCTGGCTGCGGAGGATAGCCGAGGTACGACTCGTAATGCTCGTATCCGACCATGTAGGAGTCCGCCGGGTACCGTCTGTCCGCATGCTGATAGTCCTGGGGCATCAACGGCACTGACATGTAGCTCACCGCGCCTGGATCCGGCTCCATGTGTGATACCTCGCGGACGACCTTCGACACGTTTGTCACCTGCGAAAATGTACGCCATTTTACCGGGATACTCGGAGAGCCTTGGGACAGGGAGGGTTCACGATGATGCCGGTGAAAATTCTCAGGATGCTGAGAGGATCTGGGATTCTCGGAGAGCTGCAGATACCTGGGGAACTAGGATACTGGGGATTCTGGGGATTCTCACAGGGATAAAAGGATCCCAAGTGTTAACAGCGTTGAACGAAGGACGAATGCTGGTTGATGGTTGACGAAGAACGTTAGTACTGGCTATCCTCTCCGCGAGGATACCGAAAACGAGTCAGCTCGGCTGGAAAGGTTAATATCGATGAAGTTAATATGGAGGATCGTTAAGATTCCTGGCAATGGAGGATTCTGTTATCGGAAAATGAACCGGGAGTAGCTGGAAGCATTAAAAGTATGGAGAATGGGTGGGAAAGTTGGTCGGGACATGGAGAATTGCAGGAACACGAGGACTCGATGATTTCTCGGGAATGCTGGGAACGCGAGTCGAGTTCCGAAGACGTCGAAGAGGCTCGAAACGCTGAGTCTAGGGAAAACGAGTGACTCTCGGGAATGCTGGAAATGCTGGGACGAGCGAAGAATTGGGTGCACTAAGATCCCTGAGAGCACTCGGGGCGCTAGGATTATCGAGGACGGGGGCTGGGATTGCAGGGGGCATCGAAACTCTCTGAGAACGCTGAGGATATTAAGAGTAATGGCGACGAGCGCCGGGGCTACAAAGAGTAACAATCGTTTAAGAGCAAAAAGGAAATCGTTGCTCGGCAAATTAGACCGTTGGCAAAACTGAGAGCGGATCTCACTTGTTGAGTAGTTTGCTGCTTATGGCTCCGGATGAGTAATGGATCCTCCTGGACAGACAAATGAGACGAATGCAACGAATGGGTGTCCGCCTGGCCGTTACTTCCGTGGTAATCTGCATCACTCTGTCCGCTGCAAAACGTCCGCAATAATGATCAATTAGAGTCGCTCGTCCCATCCTGCGACCGGGGACAATCGGCGATTTATTCGCGTTGGTTCGATAGCTTACGTGTATTGCGGCATGTCGGGGCCCTTCTCCTGGAGAACGCGTCTGGAAGAACACAATGCCACGGAATTATCGTCTAATCTCAGCGGACACTGGCGACATCTACGAAATCAAGTGCCACGGAAACGAAACAACGTCGAGGAAAGATCAGTCTTATAATAGATGACAGTTTCAGAACTGTATTTAGAAAAATTTTCTATTCACGTGTCCGGCTCGTGATATTCATGTTCGACCCGACTCTCTGTTCACGAATCTGGCTCGTGGTATTCGTGTTTGGCCCAAAATCTTCATCACGAGTCAGGCTCGTCGTTGTACGGGAAGGGGTTAATTAACCCCTTGCACTGCGCTGAAACTCGAAAAAGGCCATGCCAAACCCGTATGCCTGAATGGTCGGGAAAGAAGCCTAACGGCGGTGCCCGAGTGTCGAAATTCGAAACACGATATCTTACGACCGAGTGCGAGATAGCCGCGAGCCCATTCGAGGTATTCATACTTGGCCCGAGAATAAGACCACGTGTCAGACTCGTGATATTCACGTTTGACCCGAAACGTCGATCACGAGTCAGGCTCGTGACATCCACGTTTGGCATGAAATTAAACAACGAGCCTGACTCGTGATACTCAAGTTTGACCTAAAATTTTCATCGCCAGTCAGGCTCGTAAAAATAGTGCACAGAGGTTAATGGTCGACTGATCTAACCGAGGAAACAGCAAATAACGAACGTGCGCTTTGACGAAGGAGGAAAAGATACGCGAGAGACGAGGAAAAACGAGGTAGAAAGGAAAGCAAGAGTACCCAGAAATAAAGCAAGCCATCCAGGTACACCTCTAACTACGCTAAGCTACTCGCCTCACGTCCTCGTCACACATCATGCTGAACAAACGCGATACCAAGTGTTAGTGCGACCGAAGTTACTCATTCTGATGACTCTTTTATCTCTTGTTGACGTAGCCATCCGGTAAAAATCTCGCAGATTAGAACGATCCGAGAATAATCTCGCGAGATCCTCCAGGGGTCTCATCCCGAGTCGCGCTGCCCTCTGTCGAGAATCTCGCGAGACTATGATCAACATTGGTGCACGTTACTCTTGCTGAGCCAAGGACGAAGTTAATCGGAAGCCGATGGATGATGCTCAGAATGACCAACCTCGGTGATTAGCTCATGTTAGTCACCTCTGCGTGATCTCAGTGTGCGTTATGCTGTGCTCCTGTCTCTCGACGATTCGACGATTCACCAGCCTGATATTAACAATTTCGTCGTGATTAATCCGTGTGCCGAGACTACGTGCTTCCTAGGGTGCAATCTCGAGCTAGATCATGTAACTGTCTTTTTCATCATTGGTCGCCCATGATTCCCGGGCCCCGTATCTACTTTACGCGCTCTCTCTCGTAAAGGCAGCCAGGAAAAATTGGCCGAACGAGAGGAACGACAGCGGGACAGACAGAAGAGATAGGGTCTAGTGTGTTTATTTCTTTCTAGCCGTTACCGGGCAACGAGTTTTGCCAATTGGCCGAGTTACGTTTCGCGCTAGCCGTGTAAAATGGAGGGAAAAGCAGAGTTCGCTTCTAGATCACCGGCTTCTTGTCGGCAGAAGAGAAGAGTGATAGAGAGAAACAGAAAGAGAGAGAGAGAGAGAGAGAAGTAGAGAATGTAGGTATTAATTGGTTACGAGCCTCTCGGCAGAGAGCTCGAGGAGAGAAAGACACTTACAGACAGGAGTCAACCAGCTGATTATTTGACATACCAGCTGATTTTTCGTCTCTTGCCGCTCAGCAGTCGATGACGTCCCCTGGAAGCACACGAAACGAGGCAGACATTAGAACAGATGGAAAAGTATGGTATCGTGGTACGTTACTGTTACAACTTGGCGGATTCCACGGATTCTCGGGATACCCGGAGAAACTGGAAGGACTGGAAAAGTTCGTGTTTGCAGCTCGGTTGGCAGTGAACTGTACCGCTTACGAGACTGTTAACGACGACTGTATTGATCGGGACATTAGCACAGCGGGTCTAATTGCGCGACTCATACACGCGTCCTTCCGATACTTGCCGACAGGATATGGTCGGAGGAGTTTATTCTGGAAATATTCCACGATTTCGATCGCCGTGTGATCGATTGGTTTAACGGGAGGAGACACTCCGGAATTTAAAGAGACCTGCACAGAGGGGAAGAGAAATGGGGTACAGCTAGAATGGTCGGACGTTAATTTCGTGTCAAGGATCGAGAGTCCACGTGGCAGGTCTCTTTGATTAAGCCTCGTCTCTCACCCTCCAGTCGTTGTATTTTTTCTTCTCCCTTTTTCCCCAATTTATCTCCGCCCCATCTTCCGCTCTTAGTTAATTAATTTTATCGCCGCCGCCGCGTGGACCAACGCGGCCGCCTAGTAGAGCGTAACCGCGGCGCTAGTGTCGCCCGTGATCGCGCGGTTTAAAATATAAAGCACGGGACGAGCGGACGAGTTTAATTAATTTGTCGCTTCCACACTCTTTTATCGCGCGTTTCGATTGCCCCCCTAGGAGGGGGGGGGGCGATACGCGAGAGCCTATACACGCGCGATCAGAGAATGAGCGTGCGAAGGGAAGGACGAAGAGCGAAGTTCGTTAACGAATTCACCTAACGCAACCACGATCCTGGAATTTCGTTAAGCCAGGTTCCGAAAGGACGACAGCCTGTTCGACCGGTGCCTAAATTCTATTCGACTAACGAACTTCGTTTCCACTTATTGTCCGGAATTGTCCTTTTCCGACCCGGCATAATCGTCTTTCGGGCCATTTAGGACCCTCCTCGTTCAGAAAAGAGTCACTCGTGGAACCGGTACCGCACTCCCTGGTCCAACGACGAAGATGAGACATCGAAGGCAACTAGACGAGGGCTATAGAGAGATTCTTGGTATACTCCGGGTGTTTTTAAACGCAGGGACGATTACGCGAGCGAACTTGAGCGAGTGCTAATCGCGTTAACGTCGATTAGGAACGCGGATACCGGCGACATCGATCTCGTTCCCGTAGAATCCAGGTCGAAAGAGGGATAAGAGTTAAATGGCTCGAACAAACTCCCCGGACTTGGTCTCCTGTCTCATCTTCTCCAGGGGGGCGGGTTCACGGTATTCGACACTGTCGCGGTCTCTTCATCCCTTCTCGGTGAATTTCACCACGTGCCGGGACTGGTAATACCTTAATAACTGGCGGAAGAATCGGAGGACCTGGATCGTTGGTCTACCTGCCCCACCTTCGGCCACTTTTCCTGCTCCTCGCTGCGTAGAGACCCGAGGTATTCGACGCTGGGCCCCGGGACCGTAAAAGTGGGCCAAACTCTGTCTACCAGTGAAGGTAGAATTTCGTTGACAACCGGTTATTAACAGTAGTCTTCTTTAATTGCCTGGAAGTTAGAAACCTAACCCTCGATCGGACCCGAGCACGGTTTTACTCCGCTTTCACGCTCTACGCGAGATATGAAGAGCAAAGTGGGGCAACGCCGGCTGGTTTAGATTAGAAACATGGAGGTAACGTGGCACCGGGATCCTTGTTTCCCTGCAACGAATGTTAATTTTCTCGAGGAACTTTGCTCCGGCAGTGGTGCTCAACCGGGGATCCTCGGCGAGATCCCGCGAGCCACGTGCATTTAGCCAGCTACCTACGGGCTAAAACGAATCTCGTCGAGTCTAAACACCGTGGCAAAGAACGGTACCCACTCGACGTTCTTTGCTCTTAAAACTCCGTGGCATCTTAACCTGCCCCCTGCACCCCGCACGTCAGACGACGTCGCAACGGTGCACCAGAATCGATTTTCTCCGCGGCGTTTCCGCGCAAGATGCATTTCCCACAGGATCTCTCTCTTCGGGCAGGATCTTCGGAACGTCCTTCGGGTCGGAAAGCGCCCGGGTAATTAAGACGCGGGGCGGCTAATTGCCGTGCGACTAACGAAGTGCGCGATTTCCGCTCGCAGCGCCGCCACGGCCATCGGGGAGAACCACGGACGCGTCCATTTGACCGAAATTGCATCCTACTAACGAGCCCTTTTTTTCTCTTGGTGGAGACTCTCCCTCTCTCTTTCTCTCTCACTCTCTCTCTCTCTCCACTGTCCCTTTTTCTTCTTCCCTTCACCGTGTCCAACGTCCTTGCGACCACGAACGTTACCACGAGTTATTTACACGCATGCACACACATAAGCACCGTGTGTGCCCACATGTGTGTTTAGAGATGGTACAGTCATTCTCGATTAATGCCGCAATTAAGCCCTCTCTTCCTTTCCTGTTTATACTGTTCTCTCTCTCTCTCTTTTTTCTGGTTTTACTTTTTTCCTTTTTGGGTGGGGGGCTTTTTTTAGGGAACTCAGTGTTGTTCTTTCACTCATTTTCCCTGGCTTTTGAGGTCTCCCCCGGTGTTGTTCTTTTCTCCTCTTTTTCTGCTCCTCCACTACTTTTCTTCTACTCTTTTGAGATCTTTTTCGCTGTTACCCCGCGTATTTTTATTAGTCCCTAAGCCCTTTTTACCATGTTCTTTCCTTTCGCCGTTTTGTGTTCGCTTTTTTAACACCTGTGTTTTCTTGCTACTCTTTCAGAATCCTTTTTTGTTCGATTTTTCTTTCCCCTTTTGTGCCCCTACGTTGCTTTTCGCCGATTTTTCCGTTCTCTTTTTACTCGATATTTTTTTTTTTTCATTTATGAAACTCTCAAACATTGGTGACCAAAAACTCTCTTTTTTGAAAACACTCTCTTCGGCGTTCCGAATCGTTTTTCTCGTTTATTCGGTGATAGTAGAGTTTCCTCAAACTGACTCAATTGGACAACTTCCACCAGTCTCCCAATATAACCAGAGTTAAAATTCCCACGAGCAACTCCAGAACACTTGAGGGCCTCGATAGTTAGTGGAGAGATGAATTACTCGAAGGAATCTTAGAAAGTGGGAGGAATCCAATCACCATGGAATGGAGTATAGTAACAACCAGCCAGTGACCAAGAGACTCTTCTCCTCCTCTCTTCCTCCCCTAGAAGTGGACTTCCCTAGTTTAACCAGAGACTTTGAAACGTAGCCATCGTCAGTGAGAGAGAGTCCAATTCGCGAAGAACATCAAGTCCAATCGTTGGTGGAGACAGGAAGGAGAAGGGGTAATGTGAAGTAACGATGGTCAAAGGAAGCCGAAGTGGAACTCTACAAAACTTAGGGCAGCACAACACTGTGACGACGATAAGATGGGGGGGGGGGGGCACACACACTATCAGTGAATTCAAATCGCGAAAAATCCAAAGGAAGAAGGCCTTAGAGAAGGGATGAAAGACAGTTGCGAACACAGGAGGGAAAGGAGGAGAACACAGTGTGTAAAAGTGGAATCCAGAAGAAAGAGTGCTGGGAGTCCAACCAAATTTATATAAATTCTCCACTTAGATGGCCATAGGAAGAGGAATTATATATATGTAGAAGCGCACGTGCGAAAAATCGTTGCGGGGGTGTTTTTGTTGTTGGTTGGGCCCGGTCACCCATCCTTCCTTATCTCCCAATCATCGGGGTATTTAACATGGAAGATCCCGAGTGAGTCTGCAAATCCAACTTCGCCATCTCGTAACCGATGTTATAATTTCTTTTTTTTCTTCTATAAATTCTTCAAAATTATGAAACTGATTATATTGCTACGCTTTTATCATTATTTTTTATTCCATGAGTACCTTTTACGGAAATATCTCCGAGATTGGTTTATTAATTTCCATAAGGGAATACAGAAAATTTAACTGAAATAACTTTCACATTTTTAAATAATATAATTTCATTACAGTCTTCTAGCATGTTTCATCGCGATTATGTCAGATATTACGTAAAATTATGTTTGAATAATGTCCTTACAGTAGCGTACCCTCCATTCCGTAATTCCCCTGGAAATATTCCCGAAATTAACCTAATTCTCGCGTGGGAATTTTTTCTGTGCCGTTACATTGCGGATTTTCTAACACGTTTCACGCGTTATTTTATCCGAGTTGTTCCGGCCATTCGGCAATAAACTCGAAACAGAGACAAAACGCGTATTCGCCGGGGAATAAAAATTCGCCGATTACGATACACCGACAATGGGATTTCCGTGCGATCGGGGGCCGAGATGAAAGAGGGGGCGGTGCGTTCCAGGGCACGCGTTTAACATTCCTACGACACGCGTGCCTATAAAAGACATTCCACGGAACTTTAACCAGGAATACTGCGAATCCCAAAAGAAAAAAAAAAGAAACAGAAAAAAATCGTCTTAAAGCGTTTTCTTCAAGATTTTCACCCCTCAGCCCCTAATTAACCTCCTTCACCCTGCTCCAAACTTTCTCGAGTTAAAATTCAGACATTTTATTCTGAACCCACCATTTATTTTGACCCCCCACTCGATTTTATTCACATGCTACGAGCATGTTATGTTTAGTATTTTTGAACAAAATTTGTTTAAATTTATTACTTGTCGATGACGACTTTTTAGGTTTTTAGGTTAGGTTTAAGATAAAATGTATAAAATAAGTTTTGCATTGGAAGGAAAATTGGAAAAAATTAGGGGTGCAAAGGGTTAAAAGTTTTCCAAATTACTCGACTGCCAAAATAGTAAGGGAGAGTTAAACAGTGCCGTACGATGATATTTTCGATTGCATCATAGGCTAATTAATGTGCCCCCTTAACACTCAGTCATAATAACTAGCTTGAGAATTTTCCTCTTTGCAATTACCAAAAATATGTACCTGTTTCTACAAAAATTAACGACCCCTTATATCAAGATAGAACTATAATTAATATATAAAATAAAATTACAATTATTATTAGGCATCT